ATATATATATATATATATATGATGACTTTCTCTTTTTCCATTTTTCAGTTTTAGAATTGTGTTAAAGGAGAAATGATGTGACGAATTGGCCTAACAATTACTGCAAATGAGCCTTGAACGCAGGTGTCCTGGGTGTGTGGTAGCTATGAGTCACACTCAATAGCACCTAGTAACAACAGCATCCAGTTGTGTGGTAGTTAAGGGCTTCACTCCTAACCAGAAGCTCTGAGATCGGAAACCACATGCCACCCCATGGGAAAAGATGAAGGCATTTTGGGTCCATAAGAATTCACAGCCTTGGGAACTCTATTGGGTCAATTCTACACTGTCCTAAAGGGCCTCTAAGAGTAGGAAATCAATTTGATGGCAGTGGTTTTAGTTAATACTAAACTGTCCAAAATTATAATATAATTTTACCATTTTCTGTATGTTTTGAGAAATTATAACCCAAAACAATAAGTTGCATTTGTAAATATATTCTTATTCTACATATTTTAATTGGGTTTTACATTTGATTATTTTTTACTTTTTCATTATTCAATACAGGTACTCAAAGTACTGTAGAAGAATTCTACAGTATGTATATTTGGTTACAATCTTATTGCTACTATTGTAGTTAGTTCTGACAGTTCACTTTATTATAGTGATAATATTCACTTTCACTTAATTAAAGATTTGTGATAATCATATTATTTTCTCACATGTGTTTTATATGTTTTTGAGGGCTAGAATAGACTGTAAGAACTAGAAATTTTCTTGGAGATAATCTGTGCATAGTCTATAGTTCACAGGAAAAAAAAATAAGATAAGGAATACTGAAAAATTGTCTCACGTGTCCTAACTTCCACCAGACATCTGTCCTTCATACTGGGTTCTGTTAGCCATGACAAATATCAGTAACTTTTAAATAAATTGAATTTAAGCCAAATTGCTTACATAAGAATGAATATCCACAGAACTTTCCTCCAAGTAAATGTATCTTTAGCTAAATTTCAATATAATCAGAATAACCTTTCTAGGTCTAACGTGATATCTTTCTTATTAATAATAATTTATTATAATTCATTAAAATAGCCTTAACATTCTATATCAGGTATTATTTAAAAGATCCTATTAATAAAATTCATCAGATATCCACTTATTGATTGGGTTTCCAACTTAAAAGCCATTCATTGCATAAGTAGTGAAAATTTCAAGTATCCCTCATGAGGCTAACCCTGTGCTAAACACATGTTGCACCATAGTCTTCTTACATTCTTTTTCAATCAAATTTAACATGCATACTATCATGAAATTATATAGCTATAACATCATTCAAGTGTTAGAAATGTAAACAAAGTTTCTCTTCATTTAGTGATTTTAAATTCTCAGTGTTTACACAGAGGATAGTTGTGTATGTTACCCCATCACATTTAATAACATTGTTATTTGCTCTTAGTCATCACTGCTGCTTGATAAATCTAATTCTCATAGATAGATAGGTAAATTTATCACTAAAAGTCATGCAATTAGCATGTCTTCCAACTCATTTCATCACATTTCTATTTCTCTTAAGATAACATAAAGTACTTGTGGCATAGCAAGTTGAGAAAGTGTTTGGAGAAATCCGTGTTTGGCCAAGCTACATATTTTAAAATGTAAAAGTTCATTCTAACATGACCTCAGGAAGATGCCACTGATTGTTTCCTATTGTATAACTGTACGCAATTGCACAAGTCCCCAAGTGCATTTTTGAGCACAAATGAAATGTTTTGCATCATGAGAATATTCTTTAAAAGAAAAATCAGGCAAATTCAAAAGCAATGTTTGCTTCCTACTAGTTATAGATATTTTAACAAGCATTCACTGGGTACAACATTATAGTTTTTCCAGAAATAATAGTTCACATTTCAGGGTGAGTAGTATCATATGCATTTTGTTTAACTTATAAGCATTTTGACCATAGTGTATGGAGTTTGTATTTTCAAACTGGCTTGATTTAACAGCTCTAGCTAAAACATTAGTAGATTTGCCCTGTTCTAGGAAATGGTTTTAGGAACATAGTTCACTCTTCCCAGTTAGAAAAAACTAGAAGGTAATTTTTAATTTATTTGCTTTAAAAAAAAAAAAGAAAATATCTCACCTAAAATTTTGTTATTTCACACATTGTTAAGGTTACTAAACAGTAGTTTAAATAAAAAATATTACTTACTGTAATTGTTCTTCATCTCTTGGGTCCCTTTTACTTTTCCACGTTTATCAATCCTCAGATACCACTGTGTTCGACAGAAGAGTCTTCTCACTCTTATATCCCCTCCTTCCATGTAATCATAACTTCTTGTATGTCGCTCGGGGCTGGAACAGTTCACATTTGTAGCCATTTGCTCTGGAGTCATGTCATTGCAAGCTAAAGATATGGTGCCCACTAGACAGAAAATGTGAAAGCACGTTCTGTAGAGCAAAGTTGGCAGGATCCATGTCAGTATCCATTTGTGCATTATAGTGTAGTGCTCCGGGTGTTCATGAATAACATAATGAGAAATAAATCTTGAGTTGATTGTTTCTTCTAGGTCATTGACCTCTTCCTGTCTGTGAGCTGTAGATTGATTTAAGAAAGAGAAGTTGCTCTTTGCAAATTGTTAGCCTTATCCTTTTAGTTCTTGATAGCAAAGCAGTATTCCTCCTTTAAAACCAAAAACAAAAACAACTCTCTGTTGGTATATCCTAATAAAAACAGGTTGTAGTAAACTCAGTTGCTGCAATGTTGTTTGCTACTTGACTTCTGTTTGCAATGATAGATTAAGAATGGAGAGGAAAGAGAAAGATGAAACATGTTACAAACTTCAGTAACTAAATTTCACTGTAATCCACAGTGCAGTTTGCATTTTGGTACATTTAAAACAGATTTCATATCTTTAACACTACACATAGATTTACAAGCATTATATGTTAGCAGAGACAAATTGGACTATAATTATACCATTCATTTCTGTTGTTATTTAAAATGAAATACCATGCAATTAGAGGGAGTAACATAGATTTTTTTTTTAATTACTGTTAACAATGTGTTACTGCATTCTGTAGATTTCCTTATGACACGCTTTTATGTTTGTAGTTAACTATTTTCTCAACTGTTCACATTTCTCAAATTAAATGTTAGGATTGCTCTGGAAAACTTCAACTGCCTTTATGTAAATTACACAACATAATTGCATATAGACACATGTCTCAGAAATCTAATAACTTTAACCTCCATATTTCTAAAAGCAGAGAAACATATAAACTTTTAGAAAACATTCGACATTGTTTTTAAGACAAATAACAGTAACTTACTTGTTCTGTTGATAACAGCTGGATACACAGGAATTCCATGTCTGTTGTCTGCCTCCTGCAACTTGAGCCTCTCTACTGTAGCTACAAACTATTTCTCAGCTGAGAAAGTCTCCAGCAGAATCATAATTGTTTCCATAAATCAACAGGCAAGAGGATTTTCTCTCTGTGTGAGCGAGTGTGTGCTTGTGTGTATGTGTGTGGAGCGTTTTATTCCGAGCTTTTCAATAAATACCTTTGCTGACCTCATTGGAAGCAATTAAAACTTAACCAGTAAGCTGTTAGTTGAATGCAACAGCAAGAATAAAAGGAAGCGTATATAGTGTTCACTGGTCATCAGAGGGAGCTACAAACATGGTTTTTGCTTAAATCTGTAAGTGGGTACCTACTATACAGAAACAGACCTCTGATTCTGAAATAGTCGGAAGGAGGGAAAGGAATTCTTTTAAACCTCGTTTACCACAAAGCTGTTGTATATGCATTTTGACACTGAGAAAAATATTCATTTTAAGCTAAAATGTGAAGGAATTTTCTAATAGTTAGAAAGCCCTTTCCACAGCTTCATGCATGTGTGCTTTTCTGCTATTCCTGCTTCATGTTAGAATAAAAGCACTACTTTGCATTAACTTACATCTATGTATTTTCCTATGGAAAATATTTACCATATCATGTAAATGTACTTTTATGAAGTATATTTCTAGAACTAGAATGAAAATGAGAAAACCTAGGTTCTTATTTAACTGGGACCACAAATTACCAATACCAATACCAATACCAACAGGCAAGTCACAACATTCTTAAGTCTAAGTTGACCCATTTGTAAAAATAAGTGCGTTAGTTTAAGTGCTTCTATGTTGCTTTTTAGTTTTAAACTCCTGTGACTTGTGATTCATATTATTAATATAAGATGACACAGCTTTAAAATTGTTTCTTAAAAATGATAAATATGAAAACAAGTTTTAATCTAGGTGAATTTTACTTCAGAAAGAATATCAGCACAACAAATAAATATTAACATAGATGTAAAGCCAATAGCTAGTGCTAATGATGGAGTTATTCTGCTCTCTATTTCCACTGTGACTTACATAGAGTCCCATGTATGTGTTTTAAGAAATTTATGGTGCCAAATAATTATATTGTGAATGTAAATAAATTATTTTGAC